GCTTCCTGTGCCTAATTGAATTTCGAGGTTGTAGGATTCCAGGGTGACTTTAAAGGCCACTATAACAACTGGTTAATAGACCAATCAGGCTTCGGTTTTTCACCTGAGAAAGTACTTTTCCATAAAATAAAGGAATCGAATTGACTGTCTCTTAAGTTGCTAAGGTAGCCTCTGGGATCCATACTGTACACTATTCAATGGTAGCAGTAGTAGTAGTTGTAGTAGTCAGTATTGGTTCGATGGTACAATATTTGTATGCACTTTCATATATTCCATCGGTTGAAACATGTATAAAATTGCGTAAGTCGAGCAAACGATAACCAATCTTAGTCTCACATGTATGACCACGTGGCTTTTTGGAGGGATCTAGAGGATATTGTCGCACTCTATAACACTCTAGATTATGCTCCTTTGTTTTGTCTTTTCTGCTTTTCCGTGAAACATGATCCTAATGTCTTTGGACATCTAACTCATGTTTATTATTTATGTGCTGTTGAAAAATTCAGACTAAAGTAATGGGATCTGTCTGCCACTTCACTTGTTTAGAGAGTAATATCAATGTTAAAAAGGTTGCTTGCTGGATGAATTGTCAACTGGTATACAGAAGGCCCCGTTTGCTATTTACTGATTTCCGCTATCTGGCGAAATATTCGACCGTCTGTCAGAGAATGAATATACTGCTCTGTAGTTCGTTCTATTCTCCTATGCGTATGTGAGGTCAGGACGAGAGCCATAGCCTACCCTGATGTGCCATGCTAGAGAAAGTTTAATCATGTTAGAACAGGGTTCTGTGTGGCCAGACCAAAGTGTGTGGCACCGGTTGATGAAGTCTCTGATTGTTGATCTGAACTGTGTTAGAAAATGTAGACTACTTGGCTGAGCTCCCTAGGATGACAGGAATCAGTGGTCCGAGGACTCTCGGTGTCATGACTCAACACCGGTCAGAATGGCGTCTTCTAAATAGTGATGTTACAACCTACCATCATTTTTAAATTCCTTCTCCTCTTCTATTGTTTTCTTATACTATTGTGAATTGGACCGATTTGATGTGATACACTTGTTGGCAAGTTTCCACGTTGATTTTGTCTCTATTTCGATGATTCTGACCTATATGTTATGATTCATTGGTGACCTTTTTTTCAATCTGGAATACTCTTGTAGAATTATATTATGATTCAATGTGTTTTCTCCTCTTCAATCTTTGATCAAGTCAATGGACTCATCAATTTAAGGTTATATATCCTGTTTAACTGAAGTACTTAATCAACTTATAACCTACTTGGTAATATGCACCATCTATATCTAGACAATTATTTTTAAAATTGATGTTAATAGTAGACAGTAGCTAGCAGTGGAATACAAGACAAGCGTTTCGGCATTTGGATGTACCTGACCTCCAGTGAATGATTTCGCCCCCTCCCCACACCTCTCTTAAGATCAATCACCCCAAATGGTAAACTACCTTCGACGGATGTAGTAACGTTTTGATGCCATAACATGTAATTCGTTGTTAAGTGGGCTAGTGACAACTTTCTGGCGTTTGAAGCGATCAGTCCTGGGTTCGAGTCTAGTGAGGACAGTGGTCACTGTGAAGTGCGGACATCCAGGTGAAGAGTTATAAATGGTGTGAAACGTAGATCCTGGATGCCACTGCTAGGCATTTATCGATCAATACTATCAAGCTGAAACTGTGGGCGATTTCGAGGCATCTGCACAGGAACTCTTATGCGAATAGTGACGGATTGATTCTGTCCAATCAACGATGGAGCTTTACAAGCCATAACATCACATCTGTTCTAAAACTTTCTTTTTGTGAATACTATTTTTGACTGACTTTATTTTCAGTTTTATGGATCATAAATACGCATTGGTTTCTTCTTTCTGTGAAGAAATTAGTTTGATTTCACTCACCTATCACTCTACACATTGCTGTGTGTGTCTGTGTATGTATGCATATATGTGTCATTATGTTCATCGCAAAAGTACACCATTTATTAAAATGTTGGGGGAGAAAGGTTTTCATGAAAAGTGTTCGTATGCCAACATTTTTGTCAGTTATTGCATATATTTATCTTTTTCTCGACAGACAGACTAAACCAACGTAGAACCTCGCACACATGTGCATCACCTTGAGTTGTCACACTTCAAAGTAGTTCACAAAGAACTGGTGGATATCAAAGTAAACAAGGTTGTGTGAAAGAAAACATCGAGAAGTGTTATACATCTGTGCCATTGTGACTGGTTTTCAACTATTTCACCAATAGTCATCCTCAACCGTCATCTCAAGGACCCCAACCAGGTAGTCTGCATCTCCCTACACGGTTCAAGCCAACAGTCGGAGACTTCATGGATTGATGCCTGGTCTTATTCTGGCCACACTAAACCCTGCTATAGCATAATCCAACTCCCCTTAGCATGGCACGTTGAGTAGGCTGTGGATTGGTATGCACAGCACGTGTCCAAACCACTTCAGTCATACAAGATTAACAACCTCATTAATCGACTTGCCTGTCTTGCTTACTACCGTTCTCTGGACCGCAACGTTTCTCACATGGTAACGTCACCAAACATGATCAGTCCCACATAGACATCTGTAATCAAAATCCTGTGATGTCTTCATGCTTCTACTTTCGATGGTCATGTCTCACAGTTGTATAACCAAGATTGAATGGGCTGCAGCACAGTCTACTCATCTTTTGATAGACAGTCGGATACCTTGCTAGACTGCTCCATATGATGCAATTTACTGAATGCTGAGTAGACCTTATGTATGTGAGCTGAGATTTCTTCAGTGATCATTCCATATTCATCACCAATTCGAAAATGGGGAGAAATGCTCAATGAAGGCATTGCATGAAGGTCCCTCTATACGTGGATTCACAGAAGTAGAAAAATGTGAACCATTGTACTCCTACCCAGTAGCTCAATTGTATGGTAATCGTCGCGAAAGCTAAATGCTTTGGGTTTGTACTCCCGAAGAGACTCATGCTAGACGAAACAGTTGTCCAGTTCTCTCAGATTTTCAGCGGTTCTGCAACTGATACAGTTCGTGATGAATGCCAACTTGAAGTTATAAAAATATGTTTTAAGGCATTTATGGAAGACATTTTCTGACACCAACCAAAGAAACATATTGCAGACATTAATCTGCCACAGTAAAGAATAAGGCGAATGAAACGTAAATTGTGCTGCTTTTTATGGTGATTTTCTGAATATTTGTTGTCATGGTACATCTAGTCAGCAAGTCCGAAAGTAGGACGAATCGCGCATCCTGAGTCTATTGCTAACCACCATCAAGTAGACTATTACAGCATTGTAAATATTCATGCGGTATGGAGGGATTTCGTTAGGATCCAATCTGCTGGCAGATGTCAAACAATTCGACCCAGTTTATCAACGGGGGATTACAAGTATTAATAAACAACAGCTGATGCCTTTTGCACAAAAGATTGGCTGTCGTGCCCCAGTGACCTAAAGGATAACGAAATACATGGTCTTATGCACGCCTTGAGCAGAAATCTGTGTACATTTGGCATGCTTTTCGTACTTGTCAAATGTATGATGATGCTCCAGGACTGGTGTGCAACCGCTTCCAGTTTAATGACAGTGGTCCACGCATTCTACTACTTCACTTAGTTGGTGATGAGTTGCACCAGCCCGAACTAAGCTGGTTGCTGATGGAATCACAGAAGGCTCGTTTGGCATTTGCAATTTGCGTCATCTGTGGTGAGATATCCACTGTGAGACATGGCCGTTAAAATTTGTTGACACGAAGCGATTACATAGCTTTGATAACAGATGCCTTGGTAACATTACTTGCGTGTGTTTGAATCACCATGTGAACAATGTTGATGTCAGGTGGGAGGTACTAGGTAAGACAAGCAAGTTGATTGACGAGGTTGTGAATGTTAGTCGACTGAGATTGCGTATATCCAGCCACCGCCTACCTCGATGTGCCATGTATGGTAGGGGAAGTTGGATTAGAATGAAAGACGGTTCATGGTGTCCAAACTGAGATATGTCACTAGTCAATGAAGTCCATGACTGTTGGCTTAAGCTGCGTTGGCAGATACAGACTACTTGGTTGGGGTCGCCGAAATTATAAGAGTGAGTAGTTGAGGACACTTGGTGACATGGCTGGAAATCATTGACAATTGCGCGGATATATTCACTCTCTGATGTCTTCTAAAGTCTAAATATTCACACTAACTTTAATCTTCAGGTTATTTATCGTCTCACACAACTTATTTTACTTTGATGTCACTCGTTTTCTATCCAGCTGTTCTTAGTGTACTTCTGTGAGGTTTGACAACTTGAGACGATACGCCTGTGTACGCGGTTGTACGTTGATTTTATCACTCAGGGGATAAGGCTTTGGCGTTTGAATCGATAGACGCTGGACTCAAGGGGAACAAAATCCACCGAGAGAATATAATCTGGGTGGTAACGGGAAATAATATTCTCAGAAGAGGATGTGTAAAGTGCAATTCCATAGCTGTACACAAGTAGGTGCGATTACATCAAATATTTTATGATATTTACATTGTTCAGGTGTACTGTAGTAAGTTCATTGTTCAGTTTGAGAAAGAGAGACAGAGTAGAGTAATCAGCTGTCGTCTTTTAAGCAACTTATGAGACAAACCTAACATGTTTGTTCATCAGTCTGACTATCTGAGATAGCAACCGTGGTTTCACCGACTTGTATTATTGATACTGAGTGGTAATTGGAGGGTGAAATAAAAATATAGGGTGCAGCAGGATTTAAATCGGTGACCTCTGGGTTACCGGCCCTTTTACTTCTATCAACCAGTCTACCTGACGGTCAGTGGTTCGAATCTTGGCATAGCCTAAATTTTTCATTTCACCTTCAGGTAATTGTTCGACATCGAAATATGTTTGTTCTATCTTTTCTGTTGTGTATTCCTTATCTTCTTTCTACCTAACGTTTTCTGCTTCATAATTTTTGTCTTTTACAGTTTTGTTTTTTTTTGTTTTTCTAGAAACAACCGAATCGATCATTACAACCTGGAGATGGAGCTCTACTCGCCCAGAATAATGCTGCTTCAACTAACAACAATTCAGTCAGTGGTGTGTTGTATCCTACTAATGCTAGTACTACTACTACTACGACTACTCCAACTGGAACTGTGCCTGGCCTGCCGAATAATATTTACAAAGATGATCCTGATTATACATATGATCTAGTCTATGCTCAACCATCGAATGAACTACCTACCAATACAGTTTCACATGTGAATGAACTACAATACATGGAATTGTCATTTGATCATATTCCGTCTGGTCGCAATGCTACTATTGGTCCAAAAAGAGGAGGACGTGTAGGAACCTCACTTTCTGGTGCTGATGGTGGTGGTGTTGCTGCATCATCGATGACATTGTTCGGTGGACATCAGGTACACAACCAGTTACACATTCACGACCGATTGTTGCCTCTGTCCCACAAGGTTTAGATATTGCTGGTGGTGTGTTTGGAGATGCACGTTCCTCTGTTGATCCTCATGATGGTTATTCCTCTGCTCTTGTTGATCCTATGCAACGTGATGAAACATTACACTATACTGAAATTGTTGGCTTTATGCAACCGAAAGCGCATGCCTCTCAACTAGTGTTACAACAACAACAAGAAGCTACACAAGCACTCTTAGCAATGCATCAGAATAAACCACGTGTATTTGTTTGAACTAGTCAGGTGTTGATATGATTTCTCTTTGAACTTCACACTCACTTTCTTCAGTTCAAGTTTATCACTTATTTGATAAATAATATAGCTCTTGCTGCTGCTAATAATACGTTCAACTACATTCCTATAACGCCTCCTTTGACTACTCTTCTGTATCTCATTCATATGTGATTAACCTACTAACTAACATTCTGCTCGTGACAATCTTTCCTCTTTGTTGAACCAAATGTCCTATGGTTACAGTAAACACACAGTTGAAAAGATGTAGGTGTATTTTACAAACCTTGTCGCGAAGTTCAACAATCTCTATCCATCTTCGATTTTTGACCGTTTTGTTCAAACTTCTATGTGTGCAAGTGTACGTGCGTGTCTTTGTTTCAACCGGTTACCACTATTTAGAGTATACGTATCATCATCCTCTTGTACAAGGAAGCAACCATTCTGGTATTCTATATATTTACGTCAATTTTGTTTTTCCTCCTACTTTTCTTGCTCTAGTCATCCTTATTGACTGATCCTTCTTTTTTCTACCTTGGAGGAATCGTGTTTCGCTCTACTTCTTTATATCTATGGAGTTGTTGTTCAGTGAAATGATTTGGCCAAATGACTTCCAATCACCAATTGAGTCATGAGTTCGAGTCTCAGCCTCACGATTGTGGACAAGGTTACAGAGTGTGTTCCGTTTCGTGTGTGTATTCTTGTCTTCTTATCTCATGTCAATGATTATCGTTATTGTTAGTGATTTTTGTTGTGTTGTGGAGAACTATGATATTTGTGACAATGTTGTTTCTTATGTGTGTATATACTACTGATATTACTATTATTATGACTATTGCTGTTGTTGTCGCTACAATAACCACTGGAATTGTTCTTTTCAGTTGCCAGTTAAACATATTTAGTGATATTCATTAGGATTCTATCAAATGGTGAAGTTGGCATTTATATATACGCACACACTCTCTCTGAGGGGTTCACGCTCCCTCGCGCTTTCCTATCCTTTTGAGTATTTGTCTAAATGTGCCATTCTATTCATTCACTAAGCGTAGCAGTTGTATGATCTCAGTACGTTGGTCACTGTCATCGCTTCGACTCCTGTTTACCACTATCAACTTCACCAGTTCCACTGATTGATTCAGTCGCTCTCCGATATATATATATATATATATCGCTGCGATGCTATCCTTTTTCTCTATGGTCCTTCCCCTCTCCTCGTTTTTTTGACTGCGTAATTGTTATTATTTCCGCGGGTTTTTTTTAAATCTTAGGAGTTTATTTTATTTATTATTTATGAATGTTAATTTTGATGGAGGACAGGCGAGATAACACAAAACAATCATCATTATACTCAATATTTATTATCATTACTATTACCATTATTATCATTATCTTGTGTTCACATGTGTTTTCAATGACAATTTGTGTCTATTCGTATTTTCGATTCATTTTCATCTTCCAACATTATGTGATGTATAATCAATCTAAATGAGACTGATTTCTGTTGATTTTATCGATTAGTATTATCATTATTATTATCGTGATTATTGGCCGCTTACTTTATGATCACTTAGTGTATGGCCACCACAACTACTGCTACCACTGCTGTTATCAGTCATTCTTGTCTGCTGATATCAGCGAAGATGATTAATCCTTAAATGATTACTGTTGCTGCTGCTGAGACGCCAGTTTCTGTTGTCACAATCGACATCCTCAACACATATGCTGTTTTTTTCATGAGGTGTTCTTTTCAATTTCACCTGTTCTAATGCTATTGGCCAATCTACGCTTGTGTTTTGCATTCACTAATTGATTAACTGATTGACTGACTGGGTGATCTGTGTTCCCGTCTCCACTGCTTATTCTCCCTATCGTTCTGGATGTCGGTGGGATTGCCGTATTTTCTTTGAGTTTTTCTTCTCTTCTGTATACAAACATATAAAAATACACACACAGACTCAATCATAGATCACCAAACGGAAACATGCAGAACTCAAGAAAGATAGACAGACAAGCAATATTTAGACAAATATGGTATAATTGATCTCCTGTTCTCTCCATTCTGTGTTGCTTTTTAATCAGTATTGCCTACTTATTCGGGGTGAGGAAGAGGATGGCGGGAATTAAGTATTGCTTCCTACACCAGTGTGGTTTAATATTGGTCCGAGGAGGCTTTCGGCGGCTCCACGAATGTAGTAAGCTGTGAGGTTGCGACCATTGTGTATAACAATAATGACAGATGACAAGGGAGATAGTCATTTCAATTATGTAAAATTAGTTTTGTGCCTATTGATGCTAATCAGGTGAGTATCATCACAAGATAACTAGACTTGAATGCGAAGTTTTTATTTAGAAAGAGGGGGAACAGTATTGGCTTCCTCGACGTTTGACGCTACGGCTAGCTGGAGGATCTTGAGAACATCTGTCTATAGTCTTTAGTAGTAGGATTATGTAGGACTGTTGAAATCAACAAGCGAAAATCTCTATTAACGTATGGGTTCGCTATAGATAACTGCTTCATGGTTGTGGTGGTGGGGGAGGGGGGGTTGAGTATTGACCGCAATTATTTACCTGTAGGATCTGAGGTTGCCAACAGGTGAGTCTGTTAATCGAACTATTTCCAAAGCTTGCCTCCTTGCAGCTGTATGGTTTGCACACAACTGCCTATTTCCTGCCACTAATATAGCGCGCTGCTGATACATATACACTTGTACCGCAACCTCTTGTATTCGCATTCCCCTTCTTCCCAAACTTCAAAATAAACAGGGCAACTGGTAAGATAACAGTAACTTCCTCCATGTGCAGGCAAACTTGATGCATTATACAATAGTTTAGATTGTCTGGTGTGGTTTTCCGGATAATGTTTGACTAGATCTGTTTGGCACTAAGTGCTTTTTCAGCTTTGTGTTGGGTTAAATAACTCACCTCCCGTATTGTTCCTTCGACAAAACCCATACATAGTTGCTGATTAAGAGCGAGAAACACGCCTGACTCATAAGTGCCAACTAGCACATTTTAATAATTAAAATAATACCTTGATTCTGAAAACTATTTATGGGGTACTCTACAGAATTTTCAGCATGTCGTTTAGCATCAGTTGTATAGAGACTGTACATGTATGCATAGCAAAATGAAATAAGTAGGAATTACATGAAGAAAAGATAAAAATATTCGCTCTGTCTACAACTTTCTTAAAGTTGCACAGTCAATTTGGGTAGACAATCACATTAGCAATTAGATTCATAATACATAACAAGAAACATGCTCATCTTCAATTAGTTTGCTTTCAGAAACAGAAGTTGATTAGTTAGGAGATAGGCGTGGGAACTGTTAGGTCATCGGGATATTTAATGAAATTGGTACCAGCTGAGAACGGTAAATCATGCAGAAAGAATGCGAAAAGACATGAAGAAAGGATGGCCCGTCGGGGAACTTCAGTCACAGTAAGCAAAGAGGTGGAGCGCTTCTTTCTCTGAACAGTGTGTTATTTCCTTTCAGAGAAACAGGAATGCAGCCAGCTGATTATCCAGGGCTCAGTATTTGTCCCGGTTAGCTTCTTCACCAAAAGAAGTCTTCGGGCAGAATCAAACACCGAAGCATAGTCTATAAAGGTGCAACTGATATACTTTGCATTTTTATCAAGACTATAAGCAATATCGTGATATTAGAGAGTGGTGACATCCAAAGTGCTTCTTATGGTTTTATATGCAAATTGGTTAGGGTCTCCGAAAGCGTGCACTGAGGGCCCAAGCACAAGTATTATTAGCTTCATTATTTTCAAGAAGGGAGAGGTAACTGGAATCGGATGATATTCTGTACATGCACTAGGAGTCCTATACTTATGTAGGCGGACTATCTTAAAATCTCTCCAGGCAGCTGGTATGGTGTTTTCTAAAAATGGTCTACTGAAAATGTTAGCTAGTGGATGGCATAAGATATCAGCACACTTCGTGAATACGAAGCTTGAAATACCATACGGACCTGAACTATGTTAAGGGTTCAGGGATTTGAGACATTTGAAAACATCGTTTGCGGTGAACTCTGGACAAGGGGACATAAACTGGGACCAGACAGGTTGGTTGACGTATAAACGATTTGTTCAAGGCACAGACATCGACGTATGCTTCTTTGCTAAGGTGTTTACTACCAGTGAGGTTTTTAAAAAGTTTCCACGTGCTGGAAGAGCCTTTGTATGACAAACGTTTCTGGTTGTATAGTAGACTTAGATGTTTAATTTCCAACCTAGTTAAAACGTTCAATCGAGGCGCTCCAGCATTATCACCCAGTTTATATAGTCTTACTCGTTGTCTTAGTTCCTTAAGCTGGGGAGAAGATATACGATCGAAGCGTAGAAAAAGGTTTTCACTGGGCCAATATATATCTAGGCAGAATTTGAGATAGCATATCACACCATCAGTAGTATTGTCCAAAACACCGCTGTCAAATATATTCCAATTCGTACAACATTGTAGCATTTCTCTAAGATTAAGTATGTTACTAAGTGAATAGTTTCTGTGTACAATCTTCTTATAGCTGAGGGCTGTTTTGTGTAGTTTGTCATATATTTTTTGGGCAAAACACATATAATGCAATGTTCTGGGCTGAGCAGTGGGGATCTCTTTCGAGTTTTGTATGTGTCAGTATCACTGACGATTACCAAGTCTAGTGTTACATCCTGACGTGTTGTTAAGTTACCAAGATTTTAATGCGCATGGGTTTTGAGAAAGCTTTGGTCACAAGAATTGAAATCACCACACGTTATTGACAGAGAATCACAGAGTATAGGGGCTGCGAATTCCGTGAATATATATTAGAGAAACTGCAACTAAGCGTCATATAAATATTTGTTATATAAATAAAACGATATTTGTTCAAATGTTTTCGGCGCTATTTCACATTGATGCAATCTATGTAATCATTTGAAGCATATGTAACTCGGAATGCACCGGTAGGCATTGATGAAGGTAGCTACTTCACCTGCAATTTTCTTAAATGGAGCTACATCGACCATGACGAGAATTTTGAAATTAGTCACAGAAAGCAAATTGTCATCATATAATTTATGTAACGAAGTTTCTTGCAGTGTAATTACTTCAGCATTGCGGTATACATCAGATGATATAAGAGATTGTAAGTAATCTACTTTTCCCTTCAGTGACCTGCGGTTTTTGCTTATAGTTTCAATCAGAGTCATTTGAGATAGGATTATTCGCTTCGTAGCACTCTGCCATCCACCATGATGCTTTTTCCTCATCTTATTTGATGCTGGCGTCGCGGAAGGCTTTAAAATATTTAAGTGTGCGTGAATGCATATGCGATCAGAGGACAACAGAATGATTAGAAAGATTTGATGCAATATGGCAGATGGAAAATTTATTAGCCTATATATTCAAGCAGGCTACCGTGGCATTAAATGATGTGCCTTACAGTGTTGGTTTGCTTGGTTTAATGACGATACTGTCGAATTCCATTATGAGGATTCAGCTAGTTCACCACTCATCAGATAAGCTAAAAACTCTGGTATCCCCTTATCAAGAAAGGCATTATGTTAGCTGAGTTAGGAATGGTAAAACATCAGTAGTCAGCTGTTGTCATGACCTTTTTTCCTGACATGTACCCGTCCTTCCAACAGCTTTAACTGACTGAAGACAGTCAGCACTCAAGAACTCATTTCTAGGTTTCTTTGATGCTGGCCATTTATCAAATAGGTTTGGTCAGCTACCTGGAAAGGACGTATGCTTTTCGTATATATCTATTTTGACTATAGGTAATTTCATGTAGGCTTACCGAAATTTAGGTGCACAATTCACATCGATTTGCCTTTTTATGCTTTCTGAATTGGTTGTTCAAAGTCATTCGGATTTTTATTTATTACACTAAATCCCCAAATTTATCCCAGATAGATGAGTCGTTACCCAGACTTAATAAGGTGTTGTCCACTTTTTAATTTGACAAACATAAAATAATGTCACACTGTTTCGAATTGATACCTATCAACAGCAAACAATGCCAGAATAAAGGCGTTCCCCGAAAATCCACTGATTGTAAAGTGATTGTATAGAAACGTATGTGTAAAATAAGGGAACCTCGGGTGCAGAAAGATAAATAGATAAGATAACGAATTGTATAGTTTAAAACACTAGAATTAAACTAGTGGTAGTGTAATGAATCATATGAGTAACTTCAAAAGTCACCTTACCAACTTTTGAACTGACCAATCAGATTTCAGAGGTTTGACTGGGAAGATAGGAATGTGATTAGTTATCTCAGTTGTTGTTCAGATGACTTTTAAAGTAATTCGATAATACAAATGTTCAGAATGATACGACAATGTGTAATTCTAAAGTATGAAAGGAGTGGAGTTCAATTGTTAAATCTTCCATGGCCAAGGCAAGATTAAAGGCTGTACAAAGTTCTTTTAAAAGGTGAGCTACAGATTTTTCATTCCAATCCCTATATCCTCAGCTTTTTATAAAAGGTGAGTTAGAAGTCCATCGTAAAGGCTTGACGATGAAATATTAATCACTCTGAATGCTTTCCTTTTAACCACTCTGTGACCACTATCGGCTGTCCTTTTCTCAGCCATGAAAGTAGGCAGGTATTCAGTCATACGTTAGTTAAGTTATCCAGTCGTACGCTCTATATAACTGTCTCCACAACAGTAATTCGACTGGTAAATACATTTGGAAGTGAAGAAACTCAGCAACTTTTCTTTCTTTGAACATGAAACAAATCGTCAATAGACGGAGATTGACTGCATAAGAAGCTCTTTGAATAGTTCTCGATTGTCTTTGGAACATGGTCACACTATGTATATCCTCAACAAGTTGTAGCTTATTGATTAGTAGATTCTTTCGAACAGCTACTGCTTCAAATCTTCTTTGAAATCTATTCATATGCTTTTCTAGGAATTCGAATGAGTTT